CAGGAATGGAGTTCTGGGAACTCGAAGACCACGAAGTGCCCTACAGTTGGGTCCAGGCATTCAAAATCATGTCTAGGATTTGAGTTCTGGGTACTCGAAGAACACGAAATGGCCTTTAGTTGGCTCCAGGCATTCAAAATCATGCCCAGGATTTGAGTTCTGGGAACTCGAAGAACACGAAATGGCCTACAGTTGGCTCCAGGCATTCAAAATCATGCCCAGGAATGGAGTTCTGGGAACTCGAAGACCACGAAGTGCGTTACTGTTTGCAAAACACGGAATCCCCGGCTTTCCGCGGCACCCGTCCGGCATCTGCCCAGACCCGCCTGGGGAGTCATGATGTTCTCTTTTGACCCCACCAGAAACCTATCAGTCTTCGCTGTTCGGTAAAATTCAGCGCAGTCCTCCACATCCCTCGTTTTAACAAAAAATATCCCGGCAAAGCAACCTAACAGCGATGTGTAAAAGCATATCTGGAAGCCTTCCCCTTAAAATTTAGGTGAGAATCCAGTTGTCGAATTCTGCTGTTCTCGCAGTCGCAGCCTCATCCTGCCTCGGCTTGCCTCGGCCTCAGCCTCAGCCTGCCTCGGCCTCAGCCTCAGCCTGCCTCAGCCTCAGCCTGAGCCTCAGCCTGCCTCAGCCTCAGCCTGCATCAGCCTCAGCCTCAGCCTGCCTCAGCCGCAGCTTGCCTCAGCCTCAGCCACAGCCTCAGCCTCAGCCTCAGCCTGCCTCAGCCTCGGCCTCAGCCTCAGCCTGCCTCGGCTTGCCTCGGCCTCAGCCTCAGCCTGCCTCGGCCTCAGCCTCAGCCTCAGCCTGCCTCAGCCTCAGCCTCAGCCTCAGCCTGCTTCAGCCTCAGCCTGCATCAGCCTCAGCCTCAGCCTCAGCCTCAGCTGCAACTTGCCTCAGCCTCAGCCACAGCCTCAGCCTCAGCCTGCCTCAGCTTCAGCCTCAGCCTCAGCCTGCCTCAGCCTCAGCCTGCATCAGCCTCAGCCTCAGCCTGCCTCAGCCTCAGCCTCAGCCTCAGCTGCAACTTGCCTCAGCCTCAGCCTCAGCCTCAGCCTCAGCCTGCCTCAGCTTCAGCCTCAGCCTCAGCCTGCCTGGGCTTGCCTCGGCCTCAGCCTCAGCCTGCCTCGGCCTCAGCCTCAGCCTCAGCCGGCCTCAGCCTCAGCCTGCCTCAGCCTGAGCCTGCATCAGCCTCAACCTCAGCCTGCCTCAGCCGCAGCTTGCCTCAGCCTCAGCCTCAGCCTCAGCCTCAGCCTGCCTCAGCTTCAGCCTCAGCCTCAGCCTGCCTCGGCCTGCCTCAGCCTCAGCCTCAGCCTGCCTCGGCCTCAGCCTCAGCCTCAGCCTGCCTCAGCCTCGGCCTCAGCCTCTCCGCCTCAGCCTGCATCAGCCTCAGCCTCAGCCTCAGCCTGCCTCAGGCTCAGTGTCAGCCTGCCTCAACCTCAGCCTGCCTCAGCCTCAGCCTCACAATTGGCTCGGGGCAATCAAAATGTAGCCTGGGAATGGTGCTCTGGGAACACGAAGAACACGAAGAGGCCTAGAATTGGCTCCGGGCATTCAACATGTGGCCCGGGAGTTGTGTTGTGGGAATTCGAAGACCACGAAGTGGCCTACAGTTGGCTCCGGGCATTCAAAATGTGGCCCGGGAATGGTGTTCTGGGAACACGAAGAACACGAAATGGCCTACAGCTGGCTCCGGGCATTCAAAATCATGCCCAGGAATGGAGTTCTGGGAACTCGAAACCACGAAGTGCCCTACAGTTGGGTCCAGGCATTCAAAATCATGCCCAGGAATGGAGTTCTGGGAACTCGAAGACCACGAAGTGTGTAACTGTGTGCTTAAAACGACTTCCGCGGCTTCTCCCTGAATCCTGCCCGGACCCCCCTGGGGAGTCATGATGCTCTCTTTTGACCCCACTGGAAACCTATCGCTGTTAGGTAAAAACGTTGCCAGCCAAAGTTTTCACGAGTGTGCGGGCACGTGCCCTGACCTACACATCGGGAAGGACGCGCCGCGCAAATGTCTTCACGCACCTGGTCGGGGAAGGAGGAAGGGGGAAACCGATAAGAACATAGAAGGGAAACGCGCCCGATGGGGGGGGGGCAGCAGCGGAAACAGCAGCAAAACCCTTAACTTCGCGCGCTCGTCAAAGTGAACTCGCATAGTGAAAACTCGAAGAGAATTGATACCAACCTTGTAGCTACACGAGATGCCTCCTGGATGCCGACCACAGCCATCAACACTCGAAACCCATAAGCACTGCAACCAACAACGTGCAACGAAGCCAAGGAAACGAAAAGGAGGAGGCTTCTGGGCGCTCGACCCCAAATTGCATCCGCAGTCCTCAGGCCCTCCCACGCCTCCACGCCAGAGCGACATCGTAGACAGCGCCGCTGCGGCGCACGCCAAGTCCCTCGGCCTCAAGCGTATCACGTAAAGCGACGATTACCGCGGCGCCCAGCTCGAGGTGCCCCCCCCCGCCGACGACCACCGCGTTCTGCAGGTGACGCGACCTGTCCGCGGCGCAAGCTCCAAGCGCTTCTGGACCACCAAGAAGAAGGCAACCCGCGCGCTGCGCGCCGCAGAGCGCACCCGCTGCCCCCAACAAGCACGACAGACGCGGCTCGACAACGACGGGGTGGACAGCGTCGCCGTCGACGCCTCGTCGCATCGAGTCTTCGCCAGGTGGTGCGCCACGCTGGACGACCACGACAAGAAGTTCCTCGCGATTTACCGCAGTGGTCCAAAGTTGCAGCGTCTACATTCACACGCTGGCAGTACACCCATGCAAGTGCTGCATCCATCCCCATGCCGTCTGTCCAGCACCTGCGGCATTAATGCCCCGAGTTTCAGCGCGATCGCAATTGTTGGGATGGGAAGTTCTTCTTCTCACGCAACTTCTGGGCATCACAGCCTCGAGTGACGAGCAAATCAGGATGGATCACCAATCGGGCGGGTCCGACAACCGCGACGCGCTCGAGGTACTTGACGGCCACGCGCGAGCTGGCGCTCCGCGCCCTCCGCCGAGGCCTTCGCGGCGAAGCAGACATCCCCCACCCAAGATCGAGCGGTGGCCTGAGGATCTTCCAGCGAGATTTCTCCAGAGCTAGGATGTTCCACCAACCAGCTCTGCGGGGCTGCTGGGCGGGCTTCGTGAGCGCCGACCACTGCGGCGCTTGGGCCGCTGCTGGATTTCTGCCGGTTGTCGCGTCGGGGGTTGACAGCGGCAGCGCCGGGGGCGCCAGGGGGCCGCGTTCCCCGCCCAGCGCCGCCGGGGCTGCTGCAGATAGGTTTCGCCACGTTGCCGCTGGACGCGGCGAGCTTACATGCGACGCCGCGCGCGCGCAGTTGCAAACTTACTTTGCGCGACGACGCCAGGGGCAGGGCGCCCCGCGAACCGGCGCGGGGGCGGGGCGAAGGAGGAGGACGCATTGCATGCGCTGCCGCAGTGCCCGCGCGCGGCCTGGCCACTGGCCGCCCACGCACAGGCCGAGGATGGCACGCTGCGGGCTGGCGGAATGAGCGAGGCGATGAAGTCGGCATCCTGCGCGCGCATCCGCAGCCGGCGCCTCGGCGCATTCTGAAACGCAGCGGGGTCGACGGTTCGCGCGGCGCCCGCCGGCGGCAGGGCCAGCCGCGCCCCAGATCCGCATTGCTCTTGGAAGGACACATGGGCCATGCAGGAGGCGTCGGCGGAGTTGTCGCGCCTCAGATACCGCCCCCGCTCGCCGTTCACCACAGCCGACGTTGCGTTTTGACTTTGCCCGAGAGCGGCAGCGGCCCCGGGCGAAATGCGGCTGGCGCGCGCGCCCCGCGCGCCACGCTGCGCACCGAAGCAGGTTGCCAGCCGCGTCGCCTGGGTCGAAGCCGACGTCAGCGGGCGCGCGCGCGCGCGTCTCCGCCGCGGTGCGCAGGGGCGCCGAGCGCGCAGCGACTGCGCGGCCGTTGGCCCCTCTGAGGCCGAGGCCACTCCGCTCGTTTCTGAGCGCGGCCTGCCTCCAGCGCGGCTCGCCTCCAATCGCAGCCTCCAACATCGGCTCCGAAGACTTCTCTGATCGCCATCCGCTGGCTCGCCGCGATATCCTGCAAGGCGCTGTCGCGCAGCTCTGGCGGCCCCGCCCGCGTGGCCTATGCGAGCTTCGCGTGCGAGGCGCACTGGCGAATGAGATGGAGCGCCGCCTGGGCGTCTTGCGAATCTGCCACAGCGCGCGGGAGCGCCCCTGACTTGCGCGCCCTCGCCCGCGCATGGCTGGCGCAGAATGCCGGCGCCCCGAGCGGCTTGAAATCCCCCGGCCCTGTGAAGTTGAAGCCTTCGAACAAAGCTGGCGGGGCGCAGCGCCGCCCCGCTGATGCAGGGGCAATCTCACAATTTGCTTCGTCCATTGTCAAGCTCACGCCAACCACGGAGTTCCCGGCGAGCTCGCGCGATCGGTGAACAAAAACGCGAACGCGACGCCGAAATACCAGGGCCCGAACTGATCCATCATCACGTTTCCAGTGCGGACGCGGAAGCGATCCACGCGCTTCCCTTCGTGCCCGGCCTGCGTCAGCATGTCGCGCCCCACTGCTTCTCGCGACGCTTGATCCGCGCCCGAGGCCGCTCCCTCGAGCACGCAGGCGCGCTTGCTTCCCTGATCAGTCTCCCCGTCGCCTCTCTCCTCGTCGCTGGAGTTCGACGTCTCGTCGGCCCCGCCACGCGCGCAATCCTCATCCAGCCGTTGCACGAAGGTCCGCGCGGCCTCAGTCCGTTGCGCATTTATGTCTCCCTCGTCGAAACTGCTCTTCTCACGCACCACGGCGTTCGCCTTCGTGGTTTCCAAAATATCTGCCGCCTCCCGTCGTCCGTCGGGGCTCGGCACGGGCGTCGCCGGCGTCGCCGCCTTCTGCATTTGGATATTGCCAAGCGCGTCGTCCAGGGGAACCAGGCGCATGATCTCCGGTGGCACGCCTTCCTCTGGTAGCTCCATGGCCCTCTTCCGACCCTCATCCATATCAACGTTCCGGCACGCGCGATGCCCGCGAGCCTTCGCCCCCTCGATGAGATCCACGACCACCCTCCTGCGCGCGACAGCCTGGTGCACGAACGTGGACATGCTTGCTGCCGCGTCGTCGTCGCCGCCCGACTTTAAGATCGCTGACGCGATGCCCGCCAGCTCCGCGCCTGTGCGCGGCAGTGGCGGCGCGTGCCCCTCTGCGGCAGCCTCGTCCGCAGCAGCCAACTGCGCTATAACGTCCGCCCACGGCATCGGGAGCGAAGTCGCGGCGCCGCGGGCCGCCATGCGGACCTCGCTGCCCCCCACTTCCACGTCGAAAGACCGCTCCTTCCGGAATCGCTTTCTCCAACGTGAAGCATGCCATTGACGCAATGCAGACTGACGCGCATATCATCTCCAATACCGCCACCTTGCTACCGAACAGTTCTTCCGGCGAGTACAAGGCCATCGTATCATTGGCCAGCGCCGCGGGGGGCGGCGTCGCCTCGCCGCGGGCGCCCACCATCGCGTTCTTACACTCCCCGCACAGCGGGGCTTCGCAACAGCTGCACGCCGCGTTCTCCGAATGCCACGCGCCACTGCCGCACCGCATGTCCTCGGGGCAACAGAGCACCCTGACGGGCCCCTCTTCTGATGGGGCCGTCACTTGCCAATCGTGAAACTCCTCCATTCGATCTTGGAGACGCACGCCGCTGCTACACTCCCCGTCGGCACTCACGTTGCCGAACCGCTCCGCGCACGCGTCCACCGACATGTGCCCCCTCACAAACGCGCCTGACAGACCGAACAATCTGTCCGTGTTCGGCGTCACCGCGCACCACTCAATCGACTTCCCCTTGCGCCCTTCCACGCGCGGAAACTTCCGCGCGCACGCCATGCGCGCGAGAGAGCTGGCGGCACCCTCGCGCAGACTCCGCGCATACTCGAACAGACAGCGACGATCGATCGCCAGCGCTGCAAGAGGCGCCCCCGCCCTAACTTTCCAGGCAATGGCCTCGTTGTACGCGGACCAGTACTGCGCCTCTCTTCGCCTCGTCTCGTCTTCCTCGTTGCGCGCCAGCGTGTCCGCGACGTCCCGAAGATCCCCTGCGCGATCGGTTCCCACATGCTCTCGGAGCTCCGCGTCGCTTGACCCCCTCCACCCGCGCCCTCTGCAAGCGCAGTGCGCGTGCGGCAGCGCAACGGCACCTCGTGAAAAAATGGCCTCGTCTTCCAACGTGGCCCCGTGCGCGGAGACCGCCGGCACAGTGGGGTGACTTTTTATACGGTCTGCGGTCGTCCTCAGGCATGCCCCCCCGGCCCTCCGGCCGACGTCCGCGGAAGCGCGCCCGTTCTCGACGGCGCGGGCGCGGCGCGCGTGCGCTGGCAGCCGCTGCGCCCGCTTTCTCCGCGCCGTCGTCTTCCACCGCGTGGGCCTCGCTTTCTTTCGCGCCGCTCTGACCCGCGCCTCCTGCGCGGGCGCCCAACCCTGCCGCGCATGGCTGCGCCGACACTGACCCGAGCACTTCCTCGGGCTCTCCCGCCTTCTCGGACGCGCCCGCTCTGCCCGAGTTGCGCGCCCCATCGCGGCGGCGCACTGGGCGTGGAGGAGGCGGCGGAGGCGCGTCCTGTTCGGACAGCTCCATCCGGGCGCCCTTCCCTGCAGCAGACGCAACGGCGCCGGCGCCCGCAACGTCAGCGCCAGCCGGCGACTTTCTGCCTGTAACGCGCGCTCGCTTCGGCATCGCGCTCGTTCCCGCGCCCTGGGCGCCCCCCCTGCCAGGCCCGCTCGCATCTGCGGCGTCGCGCCCCCATCTGGCACAGCGCACTTCCGAGCGAATCCTCCTGGGCGCGCGCCCGCGCTGGCCTGTAACAGCTGCTCCCGATGCCCGCCCCTGTCTCGTTGTACACCTCGAGCGCGGCTGCCCCGACCTCCTCGGAGATCGGCTCGCCGCTCGACCATTGCCCCAGCACGGGGTTTTCCCCAGGAGTTCCGCCCGGGAGAACGTCATGGCCAAGCGCCCGCGCGGCCCCGCTTGGCCGTCAAAGCGGGAGTACGTGCGCAGGATAATCCTATCTGGCAGCGCTACTCCTTGCATGCCGTGGCGGGCCAAGGCGAATCTCACGCTCTCGCCTGCGTGAGCGGCAACGTTCAGCTCCCCCCCCATGCGCCGCAAGGTTCAGCCGCGCATCCTCGACGTTCCGCAAATAGTCTACGCACGCTTCGCACGCGACGCGGCGTCCATCATCGGAGGCGAGGGCATCCCCGCACCACCCCCCGCGCGACAATCACTGGAATGCGCTATCCGCCACGTTTGCGCCGACTCCGCGAGCGAGCCCGGCGCCCACAAGACGGCCCTCTCGCGACATGTCCGCGGCGCGCACTTCGTCCATGGTCGCCTCAAACACCAATTCCGCCATGAGGAATTCCATGAACTTCACCGTCCACTCTTCCACGACGCGGGACCGATCTTCCGTGTCGGGGGCACCTGCCAGGGCGCCCCGCGCCACTCCCCGCCCCGGCCACGCCCGCGCCCACGTTTCTTGCATGACTCGCAGGAGTGGTTCCGTTTCGCCCCACGCTTTCCACAGATGAGCGCGCAGCTCCCCCGGCGCGAATTCCAGGCCGGGCACGTCCCGCGCTTCAGACCGTTCGCATGGACTTCGCAGAACACGCAACGCGCGGAAATCTGACTCCCGGATGACCCGCACTGGCGCCGAGAGATCCCGGGGCAGGCCTCTTCGGGCGGCGACGCCCTGCATGACCAGCCTGTCAGGGCCCTTCTCCAATGACGTCACCGTGGAAGGTACCCCCAGGGCGATCCCGCTCACACATCCACTCATGCGCCCGTCTGCAGCCCCTCCCTTGCCGGACCTCGGCGCGGAAAGACCGCCTTTCAGTGGTCCTTTCGAGCCAGCCTGGCCTTCCACCGCGCCCCTGCCTCCGCGCTCCCCCAGCCTACCGGCGTTCTCGTTGCGCGCAGCGCACTGGTCGCGCAACGCCCGCGGTAGCGTCGCATCGGTCCAGAAAGCCTGACCTTCGAGTTCCGCCCCTCGGAAATGCGTTGGCTCCGCCCACCAGAGCGAAATCCAATGGGGGAAATCGCTATGCACGCTGCCGATACTGCATACACAACTGCGCGCGCCTCTCGGCAAGCGGTCTCTGAACAAGAGGATCCCTAATTGGAGCCTATCGCTCAAACTAGCCACGTCCGTCTCGGCGCCCCAATGCGCGCGGCCTGGGCGACTCACCACGTGCGCTAATGTGCACCGCAGCTGACGCGCGCCTTCGGTGCCGCAAGGTATCCGAACGTGCATGTCATGCGACGCCCCACCGCCGCGCCGCGCGTCCGTGCGAACGACGCTTGCCACGGCGCCCCCGTCGGGTTCTTCCTGCCATGCGCAGACTGCATCTGGGGCGACCCCCCGGGGCGCGACCAATCTGAAGACCGCAATCGCGCAGTACTTGGAAGGGGCCCCACTCATCCAGGTGGGCACCGCGGCTTGCCTGGATGCACGCGGTTCGTCTGAAGTTCAGCACGTCCAATTCGCACCGCGTATGAAGCACACTGGGCAGCTTGGCGTCGGAGCTCCAGCATGACCGCGTTCTTCCTTTCCGCGAAAGTTCTCGCGGGGATTCTCTGCAAGATGTGCTGCGCTGGTTCGCCACCCTGGACTACCATGCGCGCGAGAACTCCCGCGATGCTGAAAAACAAGCTGTCGCCGCCGCCGAACTCGACGCCTTGGAGGTGCCCCAGCCTCCTGCCTGGGCCATTGCTCAACGCGGACACGTGGCGCCGCAGCGCCCCCGACACGGGCGCCGGCGAGCCTCGCGCCCACTGCGGCGGCGCCCTGACTGCGTCGCCGGCGCTTTTCGCGAACGCGATCTGTGCTTCTTGGCAGCGGCGGCCCGTTGCGCCCATCGCGGCTGGCGCGCGAGATGCTCGGAAGGCTGCCCCGCGCCGCTCTCCTTCCGCGCTTGCGTCGCCCTTCTGCGCGGTAGCGCTGCTTCGCGGCCCCGCGACTCCGCCACCACCTGCCGCAACCCGCAACCGCGGAGCATGTCCCCGTGCCCCCTCCTCACCGTGCAACCCGTGCCACCCTCGAGCTACGCGCGCCACGTGACCCTCCGCGAGCCACGCGGCAGCACCTACACAACTCCCCCCCGCATCGCCCAGAGGCCACTTGGACAGCGGCGCCCGTTGCATGACGTGAGCCGCTGAGCCACACTGTGCACCTCGTACACCCACGCGTACGTCTGCTGGCAACGGGCGCGCGCGCGCGAGCGGGGGCGGGACGACGGCGAGCGCGAGGACGACGGCGACGTCGACGACGCCGACGCCGACGACGCCGGCCACCACGACGGCGACGGCGACGGCGACGGGGGCGACGACGGCGACAACCACCACGGCGGCGACGACGATGACGAAGATGACGGCGGCGGCGACGACAACGCCGTCGCGGCCTCGGATCGAGAGAGAGATGAAGAGGAGCAGACGAAGGAGGAGGAGGAGGAGGAGGAGGAGGAGGAAAAGGAGAAAGAGGAGCTTGATATGTTGTTGCTTAGGGGCGCCTTCACCCCGTTAGTAGTGGTCCAGAGGGCCTCCGGCCACTCTGATCCAGACGGTGCGAGAGGATCGAACAAGACATCATGGACCGAAATTCCGCCAGCCCCTTGGGCCACAGGCGGTCTAACGAGATCCCTCTGTCCTCTTCCACAACCCCTTCTTCCCCTGCGGGGAGAAGCGTACCTCTCCCCCTACCCCCTCCTTTGGACCTGGATAGGGGCCTGTCGCGAGGGGTTGGAGCGTCCAAGATTGCCCAATTTGGCTCCAAGAGAGCCTCCGATCCTCCGAGATGGCCTCCAAGGTGCCCTAAGATAGCGCAAGATCGCTGAAGACGACCTCCATCATGCCTCCAAGAAGCCCCAGGAAACCACAAGACAAGTGCAAGTGCTCTAGGAGACCTCCCAAGACCCCTCTGGAAGTCCGAAATGAATCGAAAACTGAAGGAAACTTGAGTTTTC